GTAGGTCCCAAAAAACCCTATGTCTGGCCCTAAGTCCAAAAAAACAAAATGTGCATTGCCCGATGTCGTCTCCATGGGAAAAATATCGGGGCTTCAAAGATGCCCTTTTTGGGTATCGGAACACCACTTACTTAATTCCTTTATTCAAAATTTATACCAAAGGCAAGCTTTTAAGCTTCAAACCGTGTGCCCTTGATCTTGTCCAAATGACTTGATTTAGGACTAGGGCCTGCCTCCTAATAATATCATTTACATATATTTGAATCTAGTATATCATCTTTTGACTCCCCATTACATGTCGAAATGTCCTTGGCCTGTATAAAATTTTAAGGACATACAAATCTTTAGGTTGTATGTCACTTTTGTGTACCAAGTGTATTGTTCAATTAATCAAGTTATATAAAAGAGTAAACTTGCAGACAACTGAATAATTGTCCGATCCTTTGAAATGAGAAGCATGAAACAGTAGCAAAAACATTGTTAATTTCTATTGTTTCTTTTTCTCCATCGAAAATCAATAAAGAATATCACAAATAACAAAGATGTAACAGGAAATATATACAAAATACAAGTATCTCATGGTAATCTCGTTCAACGAGAAGCAAATCTACTGTATATACAGTGAAATGAGAATACATTGCTTTAACTTTAAAGCATAATAAAAGAAAGCATCATAAAATAAAGATATCGAATCGAGCACCATGCAGAAAATACACCGATATAACACATGCATTGGACACAGATTTTAGGAGCTTGAAGTCCTCTGTGCGTTTGATATGTCCATTTCTGTATATGGTGGAGGCGGTGATAAAATGCGGTCCTCGGAAAGTTCTCGGACGACAGTTATCTGCGGTCGATAACCCGGAAGTGTAGGGGGTGGTTCGTTTATAGGTCGATGGTGTCTATTAGTCGAAGAATCCAGTGGTGCATTATTTCGGAAGAATTCGGCACTATTGTTTATAACAAGATCCTCCTAGATAAATAAACATTTAACTTTGAAGTACAGTTCAAAATTTTCGCTAATATATTAAATTATTGCGATATTTTATCTTTCAAGTATATAAAGTTTCGAAAATGAACACCTTATCAGTGATATCAAAACTTTAAGTTTGTTTGAGTTCGAAGTTTTAAATACAGATAGTTACAATGAATAAATACAGACTCGCAAATAAAAATAGTCCTTATAAAAACAGTGTATAGTGTATGTGTATCTTAAATTATAATATACTTACTGTGTGAAGACGAATCTGATTTCTGGAGATTTCACTTCCGGGTCGAGACTGAACATTAATGGTAGTGGCGTATGCATGAGCTGCAAAATATAAAATCTATAAGTACGACACCTATTTTATCTGCATGTTTGCGGCACTTTCATTCGGGAAGCATGGCATTTTGGCGATGTCACAGTATATGTGTGTACTTGCAGTAATTCCAGCACTTACCGACAAGTACTTTGCCTCTTTGTTGATGTGGCAGTATTTGTAAGTACTTACAGTAATTCGAGTACTTACCGACCGTTTTTATCGAGGCACTTCGGCGATGTAGCAGCATTTGTGTGTTTTTTGGTTATTTATTTGGTACTTACCAATATCACATATACTATAGCTTGTTGATGTGGCTTCAATGTCATTTTGTGTCATTTATTTATTTATGCGGTAGTTTGTACTCATCGACAGGTACTATGGCTTTTTGGCGATGTTGCAATTTGACCTTTTAGCGGTTACTTTGGTACTCTTCTAAGGGTACTATGGCTCATTGGTGATGCTGCGGTTTAACAGGCAACCACTTTTTTTCCCAACATAACTTTTACTATTGAAAATGTTCATTGAAAGACAGGTTAGCCTCCCCCAGTTAATACTACGGTAAAGTAATATAAGGGGAATGCAGTACTGTATACGTATGCCAAAAAATCGGTACTGAAAGAAGTCGGCGTCTAAAAAAGTTGGCCTTTACTTAACCCCCACACGAAATAGGCTTTTCGAGTTTAGGCAATGTTTTTTTTTTTGCTCGTCAACTTTTCCAGGTAAGTTAAAAATTTTATTTGTCTAGCTGCCACCCCCCCCCCCACTTCCAAAAACGATGCTACGTGCCTGACAGGTACTACATGTATGACTCTTTGGCGATGTTGCGGTTTGACCGTTTTTGTATTTTTTTTTTGGTGTTTACCGAAAAGTACCATGGATCTTTGGCGATGTTGCGGTTTGACAGTTATGTTGGTACTTACCGACAGGTACAATGGCTCTTTGGCGGTGTTGCCGTTTGACCGTTTAGCGGCTATTTTGATATACTCACCGACAGGTTCTATGGCTCTGTGGCAATGTTGCGGTTTGACCTTTTTTGCGGTTATTTTGGTACTTACCGACAGGTACTATGGCTCTTTGGCGATGTTGCGGTTTGACCGTTTTGCAGCAACCATTAGCTTGGCAGCATATGTAGGTTATGGTAATTAATACAATGAAGCCAAATATCCCCCCGACTACAGCTCCAGCAATCCAGCTATCAGAACTAAAATAATACAACGGTGGCTATTATTCCTCTGCATTCGAAGATTCAGGGGTACATAGTTTTTACCCCGGTGTATCCTTCCGTCTGTCTGTTTGTCTGCAAAAACTTGCCCATTATTTTTGATTGTTTAGAGCTATGACTTTTACATTTCCTGAATTCCTGTATATTTCCAGTTAAAGGTGCTTAAACACAGATTTAAAGTGAATATTTTCTCAAATTTTCAGTATAGTATCACGACTCTTATATTGCAACAGCATCTCACTCGAAAATATAATAAAAATCTTTTTTCATCTCGAAGTAATTGAAACTTCGAATTTCTGGACATGTTTGATTAATACATCCTTGAATTTTAATGAAAAATATTAAAACTTTAATCCAGAAAAATAATTTTATCTCATACGTGTGCATGATACTACCCGTGAGTTAAACCTATGCTTTATCCACGGGTAGGTGCTTTATCAATAGCACTTCTGGTTTTGACACGATCCATCCGCGTCGCTTCAAATTACTTTGATTTGTAATTCTTGCCTTATAAGATAAATGATTATGAGCACGAATTTCGTTACAAGCAGGAAAAGGACTCGTATATTTCAAAGAAGTATCTGTATCGGCTACTGCAGACGATGTTAACCAACCAACCAACCCAACCCCCCGCGAATTTTTTTTAGAGAAACGTAGGGCCTAGCAGTTAAGTGTTAGTTCAAAATTCGGATTCCTTTCACACTTTCAAAAATACTTTCTTAAATTATATTATGTATGCCTTATAGTTATGTATGTGTAATTTACCATGGATCGATAATTATAGACACAGAAACTTTAAGGACCGGTTGGTGGCGAGAAATATTCGCGATGATGAGGCTCTCGCGAAACTTGCAAAAATGTCTCACACGCGAATAGAAGTTGGTTTACAATATCCTTGGTCCTGTTTTTCAAATGTAATTTACTTACTTATAATTATTTACTTATTTGTTTTATAATTAATCTACTAACAAGAATTAATAATTATTTTTGTTCAAAGGTTCTCATAAAGGGAAAACAAACAATTTTAATAAATTTTGCATAAACTTTAAGTATTGTTTTAAATTGCAGTTATAACAAAGCTCTTTAATTAAAAGACATAAAATAATAACTTAACGAAGCAGATGAAATCAATATTGAATTCTTTAACTGACAATTCTAATTTCAGCGAAATGATAGATGATTATTAGGTATAAAACTCGGTCATAGTAGAATGAAGATACATTAGATGACATTCAAAAATCGGCCCGTTTTTCATATTTGAAAGACTGAGTAAATAGTTCAAAGAAATGAAGTCACGATTGAAATGTTAAAATTCTGAATAGATCTTTCAAGAATTTATAATGTTGAGGATACTCGAGTACACGTATTGCTCAATCTGACTTTAAATTTGTGTGAACATTCTCGAAAAACTTCAATTTTTCACAAAGAAATGTTTAAAAGGCTATTCCCAAATTGAAATGTTAGATCAAAATTCTTAAAGATAAATCAACGAAGACGTGTTAATTATTTGAATATATCATAAATTCTAATTATTTGCTCTTTTCAAATCAGGTGTTGAGCGCATCAACATCAAATTAGAATGCACTTTAATTAAATTGATGAGAGTCATTATTGTTTTGACTCTGGGATTGATTGAATCATTGAAATGAATAAGTGAGAACAGGAATGGATTTGATGCGTGAGAACAGCAATGGATTTGATGCATGCATCAAATTCAATTTTTTAACTCATCAAAGTGGTGGAATTATTGCCCACCAATTAATTTATAGCTTATAATAAAAACATGTAATATTTGCTATCTTCCTTTATATCGATCAGATTAAATATTTGTGAAGAGCAACAATTCAAAAACGTGAACTGTGCCGTAAATTCAGTAAATTAATTATCCAATCAATGCTTGCAATATATTAACCTATCAATACCTGCACTTTATACTGTAAATGTATTTTTTGGAGTGTACGATAAATGGCGAAAATTAATTTTTCAACAAGTTAGCGTAGATCTGATTTAGTGCTACTTGAATGTGCTAGATATAAATGTATGATAAAGAAAACATTTAGCGATGTATTTGATTTAGGGGACTCTGCTTTCCGCCAAAATAGCTAAATAGAATACACCGCTAAATATAGTATGTTTACAGTATTTGAAACCTGTCCTAATCCGACATGCTGTGGAAGACTTTTGTGTCGGAAAGCGATAGATAGGGTGTTGGATTACACTGTATCAAAAACTATGACAATAGACTATAAAGGTCGGAATTCACAGTAAAACGGATTCCACGGGTGTTGGATTATACGGGTTTTACTATATGTACATAAAGGCTACCAAAAAAGTCTTGGCCCATCGAAATTCCTCACCTTTCTTCCTTGTAACGATACGCATAGTAAAGTTGATGGTATCTCGAGCTCAGACAATCCTCAACTAGAAAATAAATATGACATATATATCAAAACATGTTAGTACAATATGACAAGTAGTACAAAATAAGTAAATAGAGTTGTTGAAGTAATGGGCGCTGGAATTAATTGTAATGACCTCCTTTTGACAAATAACTTTAAGAATTCTCTCGTAGGAGGCAATCACAGTTTGGTTGGGATGGGGGGGGGGGGGGTATATGCACAATCAAACGTATTTAGTTTGGAGGGCACTACCAAAATTCTACAATTACATGACAAGCAAAAAATATACAAAATGTCATCAAACACTATTAGGGGGCATAAGCAAATAGTAGATATGATTTTATACTATTCTAGTAGATATGATTTTATACTATTCTATATATCAGTCGAAATTACTGAAAGGAGGCACGGTCCCCGTGCCCCCCCCCTTCCCCCCTCGATCCGTTCCTACACCCATGATTCTCCCAAATTTTTATGGAAATCCTAGTTATGTGGGATAATTTTCGCTATGTTGATAGCGAGCGTGCTTTTTCAGAAAAAAAAATCAGTTAAATTTATACAGTTTTTCTTCAATTGAGATAAGTTAGGCTGCTTCGAGACATTATAAAAACCTTGGGGGGGGGGGGGGCGTTAAACGGACAGAACGTTAGGGAACTGCTACTGCCCTTGGATTTGAGATCAATATCGAAACATTGCATGATTGACAAGAAAATGCCTTTAACGAGATACTGTATAAAGAATATTGACTTTTAATATATAATAATTGAGTGAGATTACCTTTGCGTGTGAATTTCATGTTTGCCATTTTTTTTTCTGTGCATTTTTTTTTGGGGGGGGGGGGGGTCATTTCAGTGGTAATTTTGATACCGAGATATTACAGATGTGTTTATATATGTACCGGTACAACCCCTACTGTTTTTCATGACAATGATTTTGTTGTACATATAGATTTCATAAGATTCCCGACCATATTGAACATTTTAATGGCATTTCATCAAAGTAAAATATGAATTAATTAAACTGAAAGTAAAATGCTCAAGTAACAAGTTTACTCTCGCGCCAGTTTTTTTTTTTTTTTTTTTTTTTTTTTTGGTTACAAATTATTTCCACCTTGTCATCGTGTGCGATAAATATATAATCAAACTATAGCTATATTCAGTTAATTGCAGCTTAAGATTAACTTACTTAAACACTAAATTTTAAACATTTAATTACTAATCTTAAGTAAGACAGTAGTTTGCCAGTATGCACATGTCATTTATGTACATAGATATAAATAATCCTGTGTTTAAAGTACGGTCTTAACCACAGAAACGTGTAAACGGTGTATGTTTAACATTGATTATTCGAGTTCACTGGCTTAGTAATAAAACACAAGAAGAAATTTCGGTCACAAAGTGGATCGATAGATTTTATTTTTTTTTTAGCTATAACGATTGATAAGTTAGTTTATACATTTTATATGTTTACCCACGTCCCCTGTTAAACTGTGCGTAGAAGACAAGTCAAAATTAATTTTCACCATTTTTTTGGCGGGGGTGGGGAAGGGGTTACCAAATTATTGTTTTAAAAGTATAATTGATATACATTATCTGCCCTAAAAAATTCTATCACAAAAGCTGGCTCATTATTTCACAGTGTATAAAAATTTTATTTTATTTTTTTTAAAAAGACCTAAAGTTCTTACATCTTGTCTTTTTTCTGTTTAATTTCTATTCTGTACATCAATATATGGGTTTTCGTTGATTCATTTTCGTATTAAACCGTAATAATTTACCATTTTCAGATAAATTGTACTGATAATTAAACAAAACAGGATTTCGACATGATCATTCATCACATTTTATGGTTAAAATCTTATATTTACGTTTACGTTCAACCACTCACCTGAAAAAAGCAGAATTATTCCAAATACTGAAAACACTCAATCAGTAGGTCCATATTTTAAGAAAAATTTAAATCCGTACACAACACAGTGAAGTCTTTAAGCATGGTCTACCCTTCTGCCTTCGTCACGTTTAAATTTCTCCTATAGATTTAATTTTACGTACTATAGTCTTTAATGATATATCCTATACATATCATTTTCCCAATCAAGGAAAAGGTCTTTAAACGCAATTGGCTTATTATTAGCAATTGAATTATTATTATTAGCACCTTACTTTCAACGAAAATGCATGTTTTTGTGTCTTATAAAAATTGCAGGTACATGTATAATCATGTAGATCACTTTAAAAGTACCAAAACACGGTACACTATTTCGGAAAAGGTCTTAAAAGACACTGGCGGATTTAGAACCCCCGAACCCCCTTTGTGTCAAAAATATACATGAGATTTATTATGTCAATTCATTTTGGTGTGGCTGTGGGCATCTAACCCCGACCTCAATCTGATTAAACCCCCCTTTTCAAGATTCCTGGATCCGACACTGTAAGAGGGACACTATAATACACAGGAAGGTATGTTGTATTCGGTGTCTTCTAGCTATTCCCACTTTTTAAATATCTCAATTCCACCTATTCCCACTTGCAAATAACAATAGATGTTTAGATTTACCTGTATTTTGTACATTTAAAGACAGAAAATAATGAATACATCTATGAGAAAATATGATTTATTTTGGATTTTTGAAATAATAAAAAGATCTTACAAGAAATAGCAACTTAATACCTAAATTTAAGAATATAGTTAATTATTTGTTTACACAAAATTCCATTCTTACACACCATAAGAGAGAGAGAGAGAGAGAGAGAGAGAGAGAGAGAGAGAGAGAGAGAGTTAACAACCTATGCTAGAATTCGGAAGAATTTCCCTGAAGTAACTTATCGCTGGTGTCGCCATTTTCTTATGGATTTTGCCTTATTACGAATGCATATGGAAATGGTAATTATCACATGGGCATTACAACCTACAGACAGGTCCATGGAATACACTTTCCTTAAACTGTTAATCTTTCAAAACACATTTAAATAAAGGATGAATTTTTTTGAACAATTAAAATTTATCAATTTCACTCAGTCCCTAGTCATAATTTCTGTGTACGTATTATTATATTAATCAGAAACAGGGATCCAATGCCAAGAAAAAGTACATGTAGAACAAGAGGTCCATAAGCCACATGGCTCACATGAGTGCACTGGCTGAGAGAAAGCAGTGAAAAGATTACAGGGGGCAAACTTGAACCATATTTTCACTATTTTTCTGAATCATCTCCCCTTGAAAGATGGTTTGGCTCTTCATTTGAACAAATTTGAATCCTATTCACCCAAGGGTGCTTTTTGGCAGGTTTGGCTGAAATTGCCCCCCTGGTTCAGGAGAAGTTGAAAATGTGAAAAGTTTTAAGACAGACTATAAAGCTCACTTGAGCTTTCAGCCAAGGTGAACAAAAATGGTAAACAACTCACATTTAAAACGAAGTACCTGAAACTACACAGGCTGCAAATTTATCAACTCACTTCTTCGGAACATTTTTGGGGGGGGGGGGGGGGGTGTTCTGATAAAATCTGACACTTGAAAAATAGAAGCCAGTATTGAAAGAAAAGACTGTGAAGGCTTTAAATAAAATTAATTACATTTATTGACGTGCAAATGTACAACTCAATGTCTATCATAATCATCAATATTTCTTAAATAATAACACGCATTCTCTGTAAGCACCAAAAAATCTTGGAAACGACATGTCTCGGATTTTGATGAAATTTTCACCATAGGCGTGTCTTGGTACAAAACTAGTAAATATGCGTGCTGGAAGTTCCACACGTGCACTTGGTTGCCATGGCAGCGATTGATTGAATTTGGCCATTTTTGGCCCATTTTGACTAAATGAAAACATGAAAAATGATGAAATGTAAATGAATATTTATCGGTATCTAATACACTCTAACAAAAGTCATTAGATCATATGATAACATGACATTTTAAGGTACACAGGGCATATAAACGTTTATTCTAGAAACATTCTTCCTGTAAGAAAAAGGTCATGCAAACTTACATGGTTTCTAAAAATTTAAAAAATGGGGAAATTGGAGTTTTTTGAGATCTTTGAGGCTAAATAAGAAAAATTGTCCGCGGAAATTTCCCATATCTTATATGTGTTATTATACTTGGGAATAAGTAGTGTCATTTCATGAAAAAACATAAGTGGGCTTTTGCTCCTATTTTTAGTAACATGTATCTATAAATAGATATATTTTAGAAAAATGTGAAAAATCAAATTTTGGCAAAGTTTTAATTGTCATTACTGCATAATTA